CTTCTTTGGAGAAATGTCTGTTCAGATCCTCTGCCATTTATTTATTTATTTATTTATTTATTTATTTATTATTTGTATGTGCCCCTAGTGAGAACCGAACCCGGGACTCTCTGGTCCACAGGCCGACGCTCCAACTGCTGAGCCAAACCGGCCAGGGCTGCCTATTTTTTAATTGTATTGTTTGTCTTTTGGGTGTTAAGTTACATGAGTTCCTTATATATTTTAGATATTAACCCCTTAGCTGATGTATCATTGGCCAATATCTTTTCTATTCAGGCGGTTGTTTTTTCATTTTGTTGATAGTTTTCGTTGCTGTAAAAAATCTTTTTAATTTGATGTTTATTTTTTCTTTTGTTTCCCTTGCCTGGGGAGACATAACCAAAAGAAATATTTCTAAGAGCAATGTCAAAGACTTTATTGCCTATCTTTTCTTCTAGGAGTTTTATGGTTTCAGGTCTTACATTTAATGTAAGTTTTTATTCCATTTTGAGGTTATTTTTGTATTTGGTATACAAAAAAATTGTCTAGTTTAATTTTTTACATGCATCTGTTCACTTTTCCCAATACCATTTACTGAAGAGACTGTATATTCTTTCCTTCTTTGTCATAGATTAGTTGACCCTATAGGCATGAATTAATTTTTGGGTTTTCTATTCTGTTCCATTGCTCTATGTATCTGCTTTTATGCCCGTACCATGTGATTTAGATTACCATAGGCTTGTAGTATAGTTTGATATCAGGTAGCATGATACTTTCAAGTTTGTTCTTCTTTTTCAAGATTTCTTTGTCTATTTGGGGTCTTTGTGCTTCCATATAAATTTTAGAATGATTTTTGTTCTAGTTCTGTGAAAAATGCCCTTGGTATTTTGATAGGGATTGTATTGAATTTGTAGATTGCTTTGGATAGTATTGGCATTTCAATGATGTTAATTCTTTCTATCCATGAGGATGGTATAGCCTTCTATTTATTTGTATTTTCTTTAATTTCTTTTTTCAATGTCTTATAGTGTTTTGAGTAAAGGTCTTTTACCTCCTTGGTTAAATTTATCCCTAGGTATTTTATTGTTTTGGATTGGCTTTTATTCTTGCATAATTACTGGGAGATTCACACAGGTAATTGTGTGTGTCAGATTTGCTCTTTCCATTGCTGAGTAGTGTGGAATAATGTACCACAGTTTGTTTAACCATGACCTATTGAAGAACAGCTGACCTGTTTCAGTTTTTGGCTGTTCTGAATAAAACTGTTGTGAACATTTATATACAGATTTATTCATTTTTCTGGGATAAATACCCAAAGGTATAATTGGTAGGATGTGTGATAAGCACATGTTTAGTTTTATAAGAAACTGGCATGTGGTTTTATATTCCAAGCAGGAATGTATGAATGATCTAGTTTCTCTGCATCTTCACCAACATTTGAAGGTGTCATTTATTTTAGTCATTCTGATAGATATGTAGTGGTATCTCATTATTGTTTTAATTTTCATTTCCCTGACGGCTCATGATGTTGAACATCTTTTTCTAATGCTTATTTGTCATTTGTATATCATCTTTGGTGATCTTTTGCATTTTTACTCCTTCATTTGCTTTTTCTTCAGATTTGGGCTGGAGGTGGGGTTGCTGGTAAATTACCTATGAAGTTTGCTATAGTTTACTTAGGTGGAAGGATCAGATCTGTTACTCGTTATGGTTCTCAGCTCTGCGTTAGAGTCACTGGGAATACGAAAATGAATAAGCAGAAAATATGTAGAAGTTTGTGATTTCCAAATTGCATGACTTCAAGGGATGATATTTGCATGGGTATCGTAAAGGTAAACACAAATGATGGAAAGAGCCAGCAGACACAGGCCAGGGTTTCAAATTAATTTAATATGAGTTTAGTATGCAAAATGTTTTTGCACATGGATGGTTTCCCACAGCAAGGAACTGAGTGATACCACAGCACTCCCAGTAGAGGACTACCCCCCAGCCTTTAAATCCCCTAAAGCACTTGGCTGCCAGTGAGAACAGTGACTGGACTGAGACTGCTAACAGGCTCCTCGAGAAGCTTCTTTTATTACTTCTCGCTCAGTCCTGGGCCTCCTAACTCTTCCAGAAAATTTACATCTATGTGTAATTGATCACCAGTTGCAAGTACCTGGTGTCAACTCCAGCACATGCCTGAGTGCTTAATTTCAGTGTGGGCGAAGGACGTCTTTCCAGGAATTTTATTCTCCCTGGCAGGACTGAGTTTCAGGCAGTCTATTTCTGTAGTTTTCTGCAGAAATTAAGGATTCCATTCAGTGTTTACTTACGAATTCAACAGTGATTGTCTAAGAAGAGAAATAGCTCAATAGAACAGAATAGGGTATAAACACACACACACACACACACCCCTAATTTATGGTAAAGGTGGCATGAAAATCAATGGGAAAGATGGACTTAAAAATCATATAGGAAAAATTTCTACCTCATACAATACATGAAAACAAAATTTAGATGTGTTAATGACCTAAATGTAAATTTAAAAACATGCACGTGTGTGAGTATGTGTGTATATAAAATAAGAGTTTAACATTTTTATAATTTTTAAGGATTAAGTGGGACCTGGCTGGAAGCCTTTAATGAAGACAGGTACAGATTTAATTACATAAAAGTAAAAAAATTCTTTACGATAAAATTAACAAGAAACAATTTAAAAGAAAAGTGAGTGAAAATATTTTATACACATACACTCACCTCACATATACATATCACATATTCTTGCACACCTTTGTTTTTCTGTCGTTAAAAATATATAGATAGATATCCAATAATAAATTATTATTTCTAATATACAAATAATTTATGTAATCTGATAAGAAAATACAAACTAAATATCAGAAAATTAGCAAAGGATAAGAACAGGCAAATCACAGAAGAATACAAATTACCAATAAACAGATGAATAGTGATGTTCACGTTCACTAGTAATCATGAAACTGGAAATTAAAGCAACGATATTTAAAAACTCATCGAATAGGCAAAAATGTAAAACATAAATAACATTTAGTAGTTGTGGGCTGTGGGTCATTCTCACATATTTTTGCTGGGAATATATTTTGCTGAGGACATATTGGCACTATCAAAATTTAAAGTGCACATATCCTTTGCACAGTAATGGCTCCTTCAGGAATTGTACCATAGAAAACAGAGATGTAATAGAGGATGTATGTACTAAGATAATCAGTGCTGCATTAGGTGTAGTAGCAGAAAATTATAATCAACCTGAAATATCTAGCAATATAGTAATGTTAAAAAAAAAACTCTGTGGCATAGTCATGCAGTGGAAGAAAATGAAACCATTAAAAGGAAGGAGCAAAATCTGTAGCACTGACGTGGCGGCACGTGATAGGATGCCCTTGAGTGAAAAATCAAATCAAGAACTTACACACATACAGCATGGTTTAACTAGCAGTAAGTGGGTGGATGGGTGAAGTGTGTATGTGTGTATATGTAGTTGTAGACCAAGAAATTTTTTAAAAGTCTGGAGAAATACACAATGACCTGCTAAAAATGGTTACAAATCTGAGGTATAGAAGTGCTGGGTTGAGAGGAATTTTATTTTTCATTTTATGACTTATGCCAGTGTTTGCAATTATTTTTTACCACAGAAATATAATGTTTTATGATGTTGAGAAAGAAAAGAAATTATAAATGCTAAACAACCCAATTATTGACCAAAAAGACAGAATTTTGTTAAAAGAATTGCTTTAAAAAAAAGATATAGCTACCTTTGCTTGATGCAAATTTAAATAAACAAACAGAAAATCCTCCTTCTGGCTGCCGTATTAATTTTCTGTATCTGGAGTATTTATTTCAGTGATTTCTCTCTGGTTATTTAATTCGTGTGTTTAACTGACAGTGGTTATGGGAGTTTAGTGAAAAACTATTTTGTACCTATCTCCAGCTGTGATTTGTCTCTCCCAATGAACTGAAGGTGAGTGGGAAATTCGTATAGCAGATACAGATCTGGAGAGGAGTGTGTGGCGTATCTCCACAGGAATCCTTATTTCATATTGATAAAGCTCAAAGTCGTTCCTGTAGCTCTTTCTGATTGCTCATTGTCGTTGTTACTGTTGTAATGAGAGGGAGAAATGAGCCAAACCAACCTGCTTCTTTCCTTTGGCTAAATTAATTTCAAAGGAAATTCTCCAATCCAAATAAATAAATGAATGTGGGTGGGATCAGATTCTGACTCAACATGTCCATTTAATTGCTTCTAAACATTAAGATACATTCTTAAGAAACCTTCACACATCATTAAAAAATCAACCAGTAAAGAATGATTGGGTGAGACATGAACTGGCTATAACCATCTTTGCTCACAAAACCCTATTTAAATTGACATTAATATGTGCCTTCTACTCTACTATTATAAATCAAGATTTATTGTAGAAATATACCAAAGACAGCACAATAATAAAACAAATTCAGCTCAGGTTTTGAAATGTACCTAACAAACTCAACCTCTTGCAAAATAACTTTCTTATTCAAAATGGAGCTGGGAATTGTTCAGCACACAATGAATCATCTTTTGGCAAGTACAATAGAATCTTTAGGGACATTTCACAGCCTCTTGTTCAATTGTTAGGATGTTTTTAGCTTTCACAGGTAGGGAAGAAGGTAGCTTGTATAGCCATCATCTTGTTGCTAAAATTGAACAGTAAAGATTTTTCAGAGTTGCTGTTGTAATAGATCTTTTTGCTGCTTTTTTTTTTTTCTTCCTGTTTCTTTATCCAGAGCTGCTTTGTCTCTCAAAAACAATCTGGAATTACTTAATGCTAATGTTTTCTGGTTTTACTATTTACCCAGGACTCAAATGATAAACATTAACGTGGGAAACTCCCTTTTCCTTACCTCATAGTTCTATATTTATTTAACTGTTATTCTGCAAGAAGAAAATCAGGCCTTTCTCTGTGTTACTGTACTTTTTTTTTTTTTATTGACAAACATTTTGTTTTTGCTTTGCTTTTTTTCAGGAGGCTTTAGAGTTACCCTTGGATGATTCTGAAGCAGCTGAGACCGCAGCAGCAACCGAAGTGATTAAATATGAGTATCATGTCTTATATTCCTGTAGCTACCAAGTGCCTGTGCTTTACTTTAGGGCAAGCTTTTTAGGTAAGACCCTGTTGGAAGCTAAATGTAAATTCATAACATTTACATATTAAGGCAGAAAGCAGATTTGGAAAATTATTCTTGAGAGAAAAAAAAAATAGAGTTAAAAATAAGAAAACTGTGGGTGAGGTAAGGTTTTACCAGTAAATTTTCTCATGCTTTAGAAAGAGTATCAAGACTTCAGAGTGAATGATATCATCCCAGCCATAAGTCTGATCTTCAGATTCTTGGCCTCCTGCCCAACGTTGACTAAGCCCCCTGGCCCTTTTTTCTTTACTTTAAACAAGTAGGAACAACTTAAAGCTACAATGTTTATTTATTTCTAACTTTACGGTAAAAATTTCTTTCAATCTCAAGCGATTCCATTAACACAAGCCCCCCGCCCCCCCCCGTGCCTTTTTCCCCAAATGCTAATAATTGCTTTAAGAACCGTTGATCAATTATTGTAAGCTATACTTAAATATGGCACTAATATTTCCCTTGGCCACCTATACATCTCCAGTGCCTTCACTTCCTGCAATGCTGTTACTCAATTCATTCCTTTTGCTTTGCCAAGAAGGTGGAACACCCTGTCTCCTCTGAGGCCTTTGCTAATAAAGCTTATTTAATCAGCAACCACAGAGTCCTCACCCTTCATGTCCTCCAGCTAAATGGGGTCAGCATTTGGAGGCCCTGCAAGCCCTGGGCTCAGGGACAAGAGTCACCTCCCCAGCACCCCCCCACCTCGTCTTTTTTTCCTTTTTTCTCTGGTCTTATCAGCAGCATTTTGCATTTTTAACAGACTTCTAACTTTTTCTGGATAGCTAAGACATCTGAATTTAGCCAGTGATATTTTATTTTTAATTAAAAAGTAGCTTAAGCTGCTTTGAATGTGTATTTGGTAGATTTAATCACTTGCTGCCTTATATTGTTTAATGGTCTCTAATTTTGCGGTGTTGGCGGTTTAACAAAGCACTTAGGATTTAAAACACAAGAACAAATTCTCATAGGCTCCCTGGTGAGAAGATTTTAATCTGAGGTGCACTTCCTAAGAACTGACAATTTGGGGTAGATTTTCAACATGGGACATGGGGAATTGAAGATACTGAGAGTTCACTAATTCACAAACTCTTGCCGCGAATTCATCTGTACGATTGTGACAGGCCTTGAAAATACTCACTTTTTTTGTAATTCTATTTGGTTCGGAGCCCAGAGGTTAAAGGAGGTTTCTTGTCAGTGAGCTGTGTGATACGGAAACGTAGAAGGAGATACATTTATTTACCAGGGGGGGAGGAAAATGTCTCTCTGGCTTTTGGTTCACAGTGGCTCTTCCCTAGTAGCTTCCAGATTCAAAGACATGTCGAAGCTGCAGTAGAGGAAATAGGACACTACTTCTTCAATACTGTACTTTCATATAATTAGTATTCACCATAAGCAGTTAATCGCCAGAGAAGAGCTCCCAGAGACAAAACAAGTTGTTTAGCTTGTCAGCATTAGGGAATTGGAGGTGTTGAAACATGACTGCTTCTCGCTGGAAGTGGGTCTTGCCCAGGCTGCTGGATGAGCTCATACGTGCGCTTTGCTCGTATGTGCCAACAGCTCCCCTTACAGTACAGCGCAGTAATTGTTCCTGCAAGTCCAATTATATTTTAATGAAATTTGTATACTTCCTAAGATCTTTTCTTCAGGTTGCTTTTCTATTTCTTAAAAACAAAACAAAAACTAGCATTCTTGGATTCTATTTATATACTTTTAAGATTTCCTTTATTATGCTTAATAAAGAGAAGCCAAAACAAGTCATTGATTTCGTGTGGAAGCATTCCTTGTTCTTCCCCCTCCCCAGTCTGTGTTGTATAGAATGAGTATTAGAAATGTTTTAATTCCAGAATTCATTGACTGCTCATTCCGACACATTAAAACATCACATTTAACCTTTGTAGAACATATTCTTAGGGAGAAACATGAAAAACGGTTTTTTTCCTTTATCATATTCTAAGAATTTCTTTTCTCTTTTCCACCTAACTTAATAGGTGTTCTAAAAATGTATCACCCTTTACTCTGGAGTCATAATTTTTTATTTATCCCCCTCAATCTGTTCCTTTTTTCTGTGATATCTGATTTCACTGGCTTTGCATCTGTTTGTTAAACAAATCTCTGTCAGTGTGGTGAAGAGATTCCTCACATCTTCCTCTTACTCCAGGTCCAGATTTTTCTTTGTCTCATTCTAAAAGAGTTCGACCTAGAAAGGAGGATGACTATAAAATTTCTCGCCCAGGGGTCTTTTTTTGTTGCTTCAAAAATAGTTCAGTTAGCCTTGTTTTTGACAGATATTTAGAATTTCGTTTGCATTTGATTGCAAGTAAAAATTAGTTTCTCAGGCTTGCTCTGAATTTTCTTCCAATATCTCTTTTTTTAGGAGACGCAAATAGTAAATATTCCCATTTAAATTGACAGTATCTTTTATTTTTAATCAACTGGCTTAGATTCCAGCAAAAGTCTTTACTTTGTTTCTGAAATGCAGATCCACTGGACTATCATTATCCCTTATTTCTGAATGTTGTTGTGTCCACCAGGCCAACTATTGCCTAAGACTCAGCTGACATGCCTCTTGCTCTTGTCACTCCATGTCATATTGTATCATATATATCATATCATATATCATATCAGGCATACCATATCACATTGCTCCATAACAGAATTATTTGTTTACTTGTTCCCTATTAAATGGTAAGCTAGAGGTTAGGGCTTTAAGTTAAAAAGAGAGAAGAAGGAAATTAATATTGAGTTCCTATAATCTCCAAAGTGATAGGTTTATTCCTGGCTGTATGTGTGTATTATTTCTCTTACTCATTTTGATACCCATGGTATCAACTGTGGCTCAGTGTCAGCAGGTATTTATTGAATGAACCAATGAGGACTTTCTAATAATTTCTGAACATAGTCCTCAAATGGAGACATTGTGGTGGTGCCTTATTTGAACTGCTCTGATGGGCTGAGTTATGTGGAAGGAATTAATGCTGTTGTCTCCAAGGAGACTCAGGACCCAAACCATCTATGTATCTTTACTCTTTAGTCTAATACTTCTCAGAAGCTGTAGGATTAGTTGACTAAGGAGAATGTAACATCCTGAAAACTCAAAGGTGGGCATCCAAAGCCACAGATACCCTACTTATATTGATACATGTTTTTATTTGATCTTTTAAGCAGGTAGCCATGTTGAGACAGATTCTGCTTCTGGGTGCCTCTCATTTCTACTACGTGAGCTGACAGGAGCTCAGTGTCTTAGGGGGTAACATGGATTTACGAGAATACAACCTTCCTTTCCGTTGTTCCTTTCCCCCCTAACTACTCTTGCTATCGTAGGATTGGGAGAGATACTGCGACATGGTTAATACCATTTACTACCCAGCAGTGGGTGAGATTTGCACTTCTGTCCAGTAATAATATATAGCCTGTGCTTTGTAGTTAATGATGTCTGTTCTCACAACGCATTGCTGTCATATGCCCACTGTTTTATTTTTCTTTCCTATTTTTGAAGTAAACAGTGTTAAAGAATCATTTGTATCACGCCAAAGGCTTCTATCTGCTTTCCATCATTCCATTACCTGTTTACGTCCCATCTCCCCTTTTGGAGACGTGACTTTGGTCAAAAGCTGATGGAAAACAGAAATGTGGTAAAAACCTTAGGCCTATACATACGGCTTTGGCTTCACCATAGTCCTCAGCCTACATATTTTCCTCTGTCACTGATATCCCTAGAGATTTCTATATTTCAGCTTGAATTCTGATTTATTTCTTCTCTATTTCTCTTCTTTTCCTTTGTTCTCAATCTCTATTAAAAAATAGACCAAGTGGTTCTTCTCATTTTCAAAATATTTAATTCTTTGGCTGACATATGAGTTCTTCTTGGGAACCATTTTGACATATTTCTTTAATTAGTTAGATGGGTCGTGTTTGAATAGGGAAAGAAACATTTCTTCCATTCAGCAATTGAATGACTGTTCTTTCTGTCGATCCATTCTATTATTGTCCCAGGGAGTAAGGGTATAGAATTGAAAATGTAACCTAGATATTTTATGTGGAAGATTTGTCCACTTGTTATATGCCTGAAGGATGTTCATGGAGGAATAGGGCGAAAGACACAGCCAAAGAATAATTTCTTCTCAAAGGCAGCATGAACCAAACCAAGATAAAGGTCAGCACAAAGGACAAATAATGGAAAGTCTGGGATTAGAGCAGTGTATGAATCATCCAGGAGGAGGAGGAAGAGACTTGCCCATGCTCTGGAACAAGAGGAAGCCTTTGGAGTGCAAAGAAGAGAATGACGGGAACACAGGAGTGATGCGGGTTGGAGGAAATTAGAAAACAGAAGTAAAATATCCATAGCTCTGTCCAACAACCTGCGAGGGAAGTCAACAGGTTGGCTTTTTGGAAGAAGCTGGGAAAAGAAGCTGGAGAAGGGGAGAAACGAGAGTATCCAGCTGTAGGCTGGAGACAACACGGCATAATCGGGGACAGGGAGAGGCCAGTTTGGAGTAGGGTTTTCTTAAAATGGATTGTGGGAGAAATGGTTGAAAAGATGTTTGAGAACACATTATGGAAGAGATCATGGATGGGAAGGGATTGGAGTGAAAGAGACTGAGCAGGAGCGATTGGGACCAGAGGAAGGATTTCCTAGAGCAGAAATTATGACTAAAACAGAGGAATAAATTAAAATGAGAAGAAATTATGAAGAATGACAGGTTAGTAAAAAGAACTTGGCTCTTTCTATATTGTTGTTAGCACTATTAATTTTTTAAAAAATAACCTCTTAGAGAAAATGAGCTGGAAAAAACGTATTTTCCAGAAAAAGTTCTTACTGCTAGTAGAGTGTGAGTTAAAGCAGCTTGTTGAACAAGGAGAAAAGTGGACTGGGAGGGACTCAGAGACTGAGGCACATATGATTCTAGCCACAATGAGCAGAAAATAGCAAATGGTTTGACAGATAAATTAATTTAGAGTCTTATTTGATTGTAGAGGTTTTT